TCCTGTACATTTAATTAAGTTATTGTTAATTGTTATTGGTTTATTGTATGTGGTTATTGTTCGGGACGAACAATATTAAGGAGGGGCAGTGTTGCGTCAGCGAGGTCACGTGACTAGTGTCACGCCCCCTGCTTTCTGGAAATATCTTGTACCTTCGGGAATAGTCGGGAGATTACTAGATATAGAGTAGGCTGGTATATTTATAAGAGGGTGACAATAATGTGTGTGTAGGTAGTGAGTATTTGATCTACAGTCAGAGAGTATTATTGAGCACGTTCGTTGTTATAGCGTTTGTTTTAGCGCGATTTTTGAAATTAAGTGTATCGTAAAGTTATATTCGGAAAGAATAAACCAGTTTTATTAAGTAAGGACTTGTGTCGCTAAAGTTTCGTCGGAACGAAGTTACGGAAAGTTAATTAACAAGCGGAGACATAACATAAGTTTAAGAAAAATAAACCTGAGTGTCTTTAGAAATTACATTAGTGTTTAAGGGGATTCTAAATTACTATTTCTAAGTCTGTTGGCATATGAAACAAAATAAGTTGTTGTTCAAGGAAGTGTAAATAAATTGTGCCATCTCAGTACTTTAAACACCAGGGGTGGATTTGGAATTAAAAATTGTCTGGAAGATGATTTTCATAAAGGCACTCCAACGATGTAGGGAGAGGGATTCCAGTAAAAAAACTGGACGGGTTGCTGCGCGGCCTGTATGTTCTACTATTATTCATATAGTTCACAAATTAAACCGAAATAAACGGTTGAAAATTTTTCATTTACAGAACAATGTCTCTTACACGTATTACCCGACTTAGTAAAGTATAGACCTATATGACTAAATACTTACATAAACTGGAAATAATTCACACAAAATTAAATTCAGAAAAGTAATGTAATTATCCGTTTATTGCTCATTCACGCTACATCTATGTCGCAATATAACATAAATCTTCAACAGGAAATTAAGCACCCAATTAAGGCTATTTAAATAGTGCTTAACCCCCCTACCCCCGATGGATTACCGCCCATCAGGAATTTCCCCCAAGGTCCCGGCAGCCTAATCCGCCCTTTCTTAACTATGCTTATATCGAAAGAATATAGGCGGAATATAATCACAAGTATAAGTTACCCATGAATATAACGACTGAATTATTCAGATTAACTCTTGCCAGGAACAACTGATACTGTAGAGCGTGCTAGGAATGCTTTGAGATGTTGGGCACTCACTAGCTAAGTATGAGTGTGTTCACGACTTGACAGAATTAAATTCAGAGTTTGTAATCGTGTTTTTTAAATATACTTTGTGTATTAGATATTTTCTTAAGACTATCATTTTCAATCGTTTTCAAATTTGTTGCTAATTAAATTTCCTAAAATCTGTCCTATTGTTATTTCTAGTACTTGATCACAGATGGCGCGCTTGTATAAAATATTATATTTTGAGCTGATAACATTTTGCTTTGTAGTTAGTTATAAAAAACAGTTTGCTATGTTTATTACATGGAAGTTTGAGAAATCGTCAAATACTTATGATGACTGAATTTTGTACATACTGAATTTATATTTCATGATATTGGCAAGCAGAGACCGAATGTTAAATCTACACCAATCGCTTATAAATGACATGGTGAAAGCAAAACATTGCCACTGTTTGTAGAGATTGAATGAGAGAAGATAGACATCTTGCTTTAAAAAAGTTAAATGTTATAGGGTTTCCTAAGGACATTCTAGTTTCTTAACTATAACTTTGTAGAAATATTTCACTATGCTTGTTTCAGCCATACATATTTGACAAAATAAATCACGTTAATACCCAATGTGGCAGAATAAACAATACATAAAAAAACTTTGATAGGTGTTTTCATAATAGTTCCACATTATGAATCATCTGAGGTTTTTGTAAATTTCATTTTTCAAGTTATGTGCAGCTGTTACAAATTCACAAATTTCTTTAGATGAGAAATAAAAACAATTATAGAAGTTACAGTACGTTTATATTTTGCCTAAAAAACTTTACATGTTTACCCACTCATTGTCAATAAAAGTTACAGGAGAAAGCATTAATTCATAAAGACCTGTTTCTTTGGGGGTTATTATTAAATGTATAACTGTATATGTACAATACTTATTTGGTATAGTTTTTATTTCAAGTAATTTTTTCTATGTCTAGGGAGTAGAATCTGAGAGATGTCCAAGTTTCACAGCTGCTATGAATGCTGGCCATCCTGTAACTTTGAGGGCAGGGTCAACTCTTGCTGATGGTAATTTTTTGTTGATAATTTTCATTTTAATCTACAAGTATAGAATTTAAAATTTACTATGTTAGCATCTACTCTGTTAAAAATAAATTGATATATAAAATTGTGTGTATTTAATAATAATAAAACAAGTTGAATCTAAGTTTCAAATGGACAGCAACTGCCTGTTGTAGAAACCTACAAATGTAGAGGAAGACGTTTCGAAAGTCTTCCGCCTTTCGTCTTCAGGTCAGTGTGTGTTTGTACAACAGGCTGTCCATTTGAAACTTAGATTCATTGTGAATACTCTGCCTAAACAACCTATCAAAGATTACTATAAAACAAGTTGATTGTTCACCAGCCAGTGATTAAAAGTAAAATAAAACATATATATTTCTAGAAATATTGTCTTAACATTTTATTTTGGTTCATTCATACAGCTAGAAACTATAACACTGAGATTGTTACATTAAAGTTAGCATTTTCAGAAGTAATGACAAATATTACATATATAGGATTATAATGTATATTTTTGTGATACATAAAGTGTGTTCATGACTATCATTGTTCAATGTTTTAAACTCTGTGTGAGGTTTATAAAAACAGTTGAAGCATGAGTATAGTGTGTTGCTCTTTGATACAGAAAGTGTGCTCATAACTATCATTGTTCAAAGTTTAAAACTGTGCGAGGTTTATAAAAACAGTTGATGTACGTGTACAGGATGTAGTTCTTTGGTCCAGAAATTGTGCTCATGACTAGCACCGTTCAAAGTTTTATACTGTGGTGTGAGGTTTTTAATCAAAAATTATATTACGTATATAATGACAATTGATATGTCTCATCATAGGAAAGAATAACTCATTATACAGTGATTTAAACTTGAACTCAGAATGTACAATTATTTTCCTTTATCACAATCACTAAATGATTGTTTTTTCAATATATATTTATATGTTTTATACTTCCTTCTCACAGAAGTTTATAGGTACTTCAGAAGCTAACCTAAAAATCAACAATCTTTCTAAGACTAGAAATTCCGTTTTATTTATGGTTTAGGCCTGGCTGTTCCAAAGGTTGGTGTCAATGCTTTTCACACAGCTGCTCACCTACTTGACAAAGTTGTGGTGGTCAAGTAAGTCGTAAACTTGTTGCCAATATTGTAATTCTAATATAATAAAAAAATACAATACTTAACATAATATATAAAAAGGAAAAAAAGAGTCAAAGCCATATAGAATTCTTTAACTTGCAGTAAAGAAGATAATGTTAATTATAATTCCAGAAGATAGCATAAATTACACGTGAACCTTTAATAATTGACCAAAATCTTTCTTTTATTAAATTTTATCAAATAATTTATAATTTTTTACATAAATATTATTCATTTTTATTTTCTGAAAAAAGTGCCACACATTACATTTTTTTCTTGTCATTCAGAAGACATGTACAAATATTAAAAATTTTAATGGTTATTTTAGTTTATAGAAAACATTTTAATAAAATCTACAAAAACTACTTCATAATTTAAAAATCTGAATATTATTGAAGTTATAAAGTTCCTAAGATTTATTGATAATTTGTTTCCAATTAAGTAGATGGCAATTGTTAAAAGTATGATACAGTTGTATATTTTTAGGACATTGTATAGAGCTCTGTTTCACAAGCCCACTCTCCCTCCAGTGGCTCAGCAGTAAGACTAAAGGCTTATAATGCTAAAACAAAACAGGGTTTCAATATCTGTGGTGGGCATAGAACACATAACCCATTATATAGCTTTGTCCTTAACCCTTTCACTGCAGCTGAGACGTATATTTCCCAGTGCTCCCATCCCTTCACATTGCGACTGGAACAAATGTTTCCTATTGTCAATCAAAATTGCTGTGCGTGACGTATGGGAGTAAAATGAGTTGGAAAGTATTTATTGGTATCCCATCTAATGTTGGTATATGGTTTCCCTCAATGTTTCCACTGAGCCCTTCAGTAACAAACAAGGTGCCTAAGCAGAATGTACGACAACTGCATGCCAATTCCTGCATTGCTAAAGGGGCAAGTAGTAACCCTAATTACTATGTAAATATGTTTGGTGCGATGCTTGACTCAGATAGCTTAGAAAATAGTGAAAGTGAGTCAAGTGGAGTTCAAATGTGGGATGATGAAGAGGCAATGAAACAAAAGGATGCTACCTCTCCATCTAGTGATGATAGTCAAGATGATGAACCTGGACCTAGCAGAAGAAGGCATAAACAGCATTAACAATGGGAAACATTTGTTCCAATTGCAGTGTGAAGGGGTGGGAGCACTGGGGAATATACATCCCAGCCACAGTGAATGGGTTAACATCAAACAATTAATTAAAAAATATGTAAAAGTTCAAGTTGATATGTACATGTAGTGTATCTTTCATACAGTATGTATTTTCAATTATTTTGAAGGGGGGATTCTTTGTTTTGTTTTAAAATATGTTAGAACTAATAATGTGTAATCTTTACTTTTTTGTTTCTTATTATTTAGAGAATCCTTTATTGCTCTTTCAATTTTACGATTGGTTGAAATGGACAAAGCTGTGGTAGAAGGAGCTGGAGCTTGTGGTCTTGCAGCACTCATAGCTGGACAGTTGCCTGAACTACAGGGGAAAAAGTAAGCCTTTTTGTACACCCTCCTTCATAAATGTTTGTAGCTAAACATAATATCAACATGGTGTTATCCATGGCATAAACCAGAGTATCTACATTAAGAATTAGGCTTGAGTAAGTTTTAATATTGGCAGAATAATTTATTTGATGGCATAACCACTAAACCAGTTCTAAACATATATACTTATGAACAGCCTTATATATTTTTATATATTATCTGATTCTTTCTTTACTCTTTTTTTTTTACACAATATTTGAGCAACAATTAAAACCTTCATCCCTCTCCCTGGTACTCTGCTCTTGGATAAATTTCTCTCCTTGATACTCATTATTTTTTCACAAACATTTGTAGAACTGTATCTTAGTGATATTTTAGGTAGAGTAGGAATATCCAAATAATTCAAATGAAGTATTGTGAAGTTCATATTTTGGTCACTTCTATACATTTTTCTAAAGAGAAATGAACAGCTAACAAACTTGTTGTATAGTCATTAAGAGTACTTAACTACATTATGGTAGTTAGTGTAGTTACTGTCTGACAAGTTTTCATGGAATTCTTACATCTCTTTAATATCGGAATGTTAAATTGTTTCACTTTAACATACTTCCAGCGTGGTGGTTCCACTGTGTGGTGGCAACATTGATACTACAGTTCTCGGTCGATGTCTGGAGCGAGGCCTAGCAGTGGATGGCCGCCTCATCAAGTTCACTGTGACGGTGAGTGATCGGCCTGGTGGAATCTCTGAGCTTGTTGGAATGATATCAAAGATTGGAGTGAGGTAAGCATAATGAATATAAATAAAAACTCTGTGTTATGCTATAACAGAAATGTATGATTCCATACACAAAAAGTCCAGATGGAGAGTCCTCCATCCTAGTGCTGTAAATAATAAAAGTAATTTTAAACTCATAGCAAAATATAAATATTGCTCTTAGAAGCTTGGGGGAGAGGTGGTTATATTTCCTCAATAACCTTTAATTATAAAAACATTTTTTGGAATAATATGTATCCATTGCTGTGGTTACTTGCAAAGTAATTGATTTTCTGCATAAATAACCTTAAAAATACACAATTCTGCTGAGGACTGCTTGAACCGCTATTCCATGCTATATGTCATTATAGATAGAGCAGTATGAAAGGCACATTTCCAAATAAAGTAATTTTTACTCTAGGATGTACTCATTTCCTTTATTGACATGCCAAGGTGAAGACATTTTGACCATCTTGAATATTTGACTTTATTTACTTTACTAAATTAACAGATTCTCTTTCTTTTGATCTTTGAAGCATTTTATTTCTGTCAACCTTCTGGTTTTATTTGATAAATTATCAAATGCAGCCATTTTAAATTTATGTTTCTAATTCATTCAAATTGCAAGAATACTTTATTACAAGAAGTTACAAATACAGTTTGAGTAATTATTCAGTAAATAAATAAATATATGATACCTGAGATGAACAGTAGTTTTAGTTTCAAAATGAAAAACCAAATTTAGTGCACCATGATTTGAAATATGAAATAATATACTTTCTTTATGTCTTTTGTGCATGTACTTTCAAATCTTACTCTAGGCTTCTATCTATTTGACATATGTAACATTTTAATTAGATTTATTAAGTGAACTTTTAAAGCACATACTCTGATTAATGTTAAAATAGAATGTTAGTACATAAAGGTCTGAATCAAATTCATGATTCTTACACAGGATTTATTGTGATGAAAGCAGGATAGTTCAATGTTGTTATTACATGTGAGAAGAATAGGCTTAATAATGATTAAATACATATAATTAAGTACAAAATCACAAGTTTTTTTATCATATATAAAGGTTGTACACATATTTTCTATATACCTATGTTCACCTTTGTAGCTAACATTATCGTCTGTTCTTTTTTCTATCAGTTGAGTGTTGTAATTAAATGCTATTCAGAGTGTTTTCTTTTCTTGACTGAAACTTTTCTTTTAGCCTAAAAAACTTGTAGCATATCTGTTCCCATGAAAACTTTCAGTTTTGATAACATAGCTAATATATGTGGAAATGCCCCCCAGTGGCACAGCGGTATGTCTGTGGACTTACAGAGCTAGAAACCGGGTTTCATAACCGTGTTGAGCAGAGCACAGATAGCCTTTTTTATGGCTTTGTGCTTAACTACAAACAAACAAACAATGTGGAAATTTGTAATATACAAGCTATAATCTCATGATGTTTTTTGCAAATGAAAAAATAGTTCAGTGATAAATAATAAGCATGCTAAATGTTACTTTTCAGTATCAAGGACATCATACACGAGAGAGCATGGTTGACAAGAGACATATTCTCAGTGCAGGTAAGCTGGACTCTAGTTATAAGAATTGGAGTTCATCAATTTAGTTGTGAAAAGTATCAGCGAATGATAATATTTTATAGGATAGTCATACACTGTTAAATATTTCTAATATGCTAATTCATGATATAAAGGTATTGTAACAGTTTGAAGCAGACTGAAAGCAATCTTCTGAAACACACCTACCTCCTCTCATACTTTAGCTTTATCCTGACAAAAGTTTCTCTTTTCAGCCCATCTAAGCATTGGTATGAATCTTAACTTGCTTTCTCTAGCTTTTATACCTCACTATACTGCCCATAGCAATATAAATCTTATGACACGATCTACCTACGTCAATGCACCCCTATACCTGATCCGTATATAAGTTCTTTGTTATGATTTCTTATTCACTTTTCTCGATGGCATAACATCACAACAGTGGTTTTACGCACTTTCTTTTACGTGTTGTATACGTTTGGTTATACTTATGCTTTTGACAATTGTTTTTACCCGTGTTATTAGGTTTTGAGTTTATTGTCTGTCTTCTTTTATTCCAATAATAATAATAAAAAGAATCTGAGACGTTTTGGATATGAACTCTCACATTCATGTCTCTGATACGAAGTCTCCTAGTGCTCCTAATCTGCCGCCTCTGGAGTCTAGCATCGCTCGGGTGTCAGGGGAGGCCCCCCTTTTTCGCAGAGAATGTCCAATTCCTCAAATGCAGAGAGTCTTACATGAGGTCTGATGTTTATTCTCCGGTAAGCTCAGAGGCTGAGCTTGTGGGGGGGGGGGGTCAGGGGCAGACTGGCGAGAGTTTGGACTCTATTTTTACGACTCCATTGCTCAAACAGATAATCCCAAACCTTGTGGAGACATCCCGCTTCCTGAATCGTTTTTTTTTTTGCTACTAATACATCAAGTTTGTGAGGTCTTGAGATTTCTCCTGTGGCTTATGATTCTTCTTCTTATTTGAAAGGGGAAAGTCATAAGGCTGATTACATAGCCTTTCCAACTTTGCCAGACATTGCTGTGCATGCTCGTATATTTGTGGATCACCTGAGAGAGGCTGCTACCATGCCTTGTCTTCCCCGTTTATTGGATAAACATGCCTTAACTTTCCATTGCTTTGAAGATCCGTAGTTAGATTCTCAGAGGCTGGATCCTCTTCTTTCTCTTTGGGATTCTAGGTCTGATGCCACTAGTTGTCTTAACCTTACACAGTGTTCACGGGTTCGTCTGTCCTTTGCAACAGTTTTGTATTTTTATCTTCTTTGCAACTATTGTCTGAAGCCTTTCACAGGTCTCCTGTTAAATTTTCAGATGATCTGAGTCACTTATTGACTTCTACTTTGGTAAGGTTATAGGTTTTTTGGTTTGTCTATTGCTGGGATCTCTTGGAGAGAGATGCCTTGTTTAAGGGCATTCGACTTCTCTCTTTAGCTCTTAGAGGTCTTGGAGAAGCCCCTTTTCCCAGACATTCGATTTTTGTGGGTATTCCTGATTCCACGGAATCTTGGGTGGATGTGGCCCATTTCCACCTTTTTCTTTACAAACTGGCCTCTCCCCTTTCCCAGTCTTCTAACTGATGATTTAATGCATATCTCGTTCGCGGAGTCTTCACATTGGTATCTCCATTTTTGCACAAGAGACAGATTGGTGGTGATGACTAGCTGCCTTCCCTCTAGTCTTACACTGTTAAATTAGGGACGGCTAGTGCAGATAGCACTCGTGTAGCTTTGCGCAAAATTCAAAAACAAACAAACAGAGACAGATTGTTCAATTTCGTGCTCTACCATTCGGCCTCGCATTTGTCTCATACTTCTTTTGCCAGGTAGTCATATCCTTTTCACGTCATATTCACTCAATGGGCATTCATACTCACCATTATATTGATGACTGGATTCTTCTCGCTCCTTCCTGCCACTTAGCAGAGCTTCACACTCGAGCTCTTTTATCTGATGCTGCAAGAGCTGGGTTTTTATCTAAACATATTATTACTCCCATATAGTACCTCGTCCATTTAGGGGTATTTTTCTCTTTTGGGGATGTGGGCATCCTTGGAATCACTCTCTCCTTTGGGTCGGGCCCACATGCTTTTTCTTCAGTGGTTGTTATGGGACCATTGGAACATTTGTAAAGATGTGCTGGATTGTCTGGTGACCCTATCAGCTTCTAGCCCACTTGATCTTGGCTTGTGGTTGTACAGGGACAACACGACAGTAGATGTCCCTCTCCTACCCCACGTTCTGAGATATGTCTTTTCATGGATTCCTCTCTCCAGGGATGGGGAGCTTGTATATGGGATATGTAACTCAAGGGCCTCTGGACAGAAGACGAATCTTTTCTCCACATCACTCTTTTATAGCTTCTAGCAGTTCAAAGAGTTGTGTCTCGGACTCTCAAATTGTTGCGAAGAAAGTTAGTAATGCTTCACTTGGACAATTCCATGCTGGTCTCTAGATTTCCAAACAAGGGGACACTCACTCCAGGTTTCTTTGTTTTCAGACGTTGGATCTTCTCTTTTAGGCTCACAATTATCAGATTGTTCTCCTTGTTTGTCATGTTTCAGGTTATGAATTTAGTGGCTGATTAGCTATCTTGTCCCAATGAAGTTCTTCCTACAGAATGGATGCTTGATCCACAACTTTTTCATTGGATCTGCTCTCGTTTCAGGATGCCTCAGTTCGTTGCTTTCCCCACTCACTTGAATGCTTAGCTCCCATATTTCTGGTCTTCTGTCCCTCATCCTCTGGCTTTGGGCAGATGCTCTCAGCCAGGATGGGATGGGTCTTCATTTACGATTCATGTTCACGGGACTCTTTACAATCTCATTTATGTTCTGTTGTATCCAGATAGGTCCTTTCTTCTCAAAACTTCAGTGGCTAGAGAAGGGGAAAAGGTTTTCTCTCCTTTTTATTTTTCCACCATTTCCCATTTTATGAATTCTTGGACCCAGCTTGTCTTTTATGCCCAGTTTGGGCTCTTCAGTGTTTTGATGTGGAGTTAATGTCACTATCTGTTTATCCATTGGGATCCTAAGGTGTCATATGACATATCCTGATACTTTGACAAGTTGGGTTCGCCAATTTGGTGTGTATTGCTTTTTGTGGGATTTTATTGGAGGGATGGAGACTTTTTCAGGTCTCATCTTATCAAATCCACCATAATTCGATGTCTCTGTCAGCTGGGTTGCCTCGCCTGCTGGAGAGAATTGTACAAGCTGGTATGTAGACCATGTCTAATACATCTATATCTCATTATTTACATGATTTGGGGTTTGGCTCCTCGGAAGGTTTTTGGCTACCCCTTGGCTATTCTTCAAGCCCTGGCTCATTTGTAAAAGAGGCGAGTGACTATATTTCTTTTTTGTTTTTGTTTCTAGAGACCCTATGGTCATTTCCATTGGATACCACTCTGTGGCGGGTGTTGCCTGGTCGGGTATGCTTATTTCCAAATATGCACTAGCTACCAGTCGACCAATCAATAATTTTCCTGATAGCAATGAGCTCTGTTGAGATGGGGTATTCCATAAGACCTCCTTGTGTACTTTCAGGTGGTAGACATTTATAACACAAAACAAATACACTACTGGGCCGCCACTCATGGACCATCATGAATAAAGCTTAATGAAATTTTGCCCATCCCTGCTGACCCCTAGATTGAATAAATTATGGTCGATTTGCTTTTCAAAATAGGGAATGTGATTCACCTATTGCATTGTCTCTGGAGCATTGTTCCTCAGAACACCTCATCATGAGAATCTCTCCCCCCCCCCCATTTCTCCTAGTGGAGCATGGTAGTTCTTACCGCTCCTGGCTTCCAGTTGCTGGACAGAGGATTATTTCTCCTGGGTGATGCTTGTACTCATTATTCCACTCAAGGAGAAGAGGGCAAAGCTGGGTGCCCTCCTTCCAATAAACCAGGATGTTTTTCTCAGATGTATGGTAGGAGCAGAACCAGCCTATGCAAAAGGCTCCTTGTAATTCTGGTTCAGAGGTGACTCTTCGCTATTCAGTTGGGTTGTGCATGACCCTTCTTTTTGGTCATTCTCTGTATTTCGATGATCATGGAAGGGAATTCTCGAATTCTTTGTAGTTCCACATGCAGAGCGTTACTTCCTGTGCCATTGGTTGAACTTCTTTGTTCCACATATTTCTCGTACTTCCAGAGGCAAGAAGTTGGGGAGTTAATATTTTGATTCGTAATCCCAGACCGGGTAATTTCTGTTTCTTCAGGTTGAATGAGGCACGACAGGTCCCATAATTCCAAGTTCAGTTTGTTTCATTTTATGCTTATTCTGGTTGGGAAGAGTGTTGCTTTAGTCAAGCCACTGGAATTAAGGTGTTGCTTCATAATTCCAGTGGCTTGACTTGCAGCATTCTGTAACATTCAGGCTGGGTTCCAATAATATCACATTACTAAACAAAAGCAATACAGCAGTCCTCGTACCCTAGCCACTACACCTTAGATTCCAATTTGGGTCCACAGCCCTATAATTCCAAGGACAAGACGTGGGACCTTGTCTGCTGGTTGAGACTCGGACAAATTCATGTTCTTCTAATTAATAATGTTAGGATTTTGCCTCTGTGGCCAGTCAGCCTTTACTGCCCAAGAATTGGATTTAATGTGGCATGGGCAAAGAGCACACTTGTTCCAGAAGTAGTGCAGCCCTAACTGGTGTGCTATTACTATATTTCATTTTTGCACACATCTTTTCTATGAAGATGCTTTCTGTGTCGACCTTGCCCTCACTGGCCTCTCCACTTTGTCAGTGTGGGATTTTAGCTAAAGTGTCTTTGTAAGTATGTTTTGGAATTTAACATTTTTTCTATACCGAAAATGTATTTTCAATAATACTTACCTCTTCTCCCACTCTCTCACCCTTACTATCCATGAAATGACTGGTTTCAAGTCTGTTAATTTGAACCGTCTTGAAAAGTGTATAGGAAGTAATAATGGAGAGCTTATATATGGATGTGGTATAGGGGGCGCATTGATGTAAGTGAAGAGAATCACAAGATTTAAATCGCTATAGGAAATATAGTGGGGCATAAAGGTTGGAACAAGTGAGATAAGATTCATACCAATGCATAGATGGGCAGGAAAGAGAAACTTTTGACAGGATAAAGCTAAATGTGAGAGGGGGTAAGTATTATTAGTCATACAATTTCGTTGTAGGAAACTGTTAACTTTCCTGACTGTAACTTCAACCCATGCAGACTATAGTACTAGAAAGAATAAGGGTGTAATTATTGTTTTTCACTAAACACCCCAAGTAGTGCTGTGAAAGAATAAGGATGTAATTATTGTTTTTCACTAATCACCCCCAAGTAGTGCTGTGAAAGAATAATGATGTAATTATTGTTTTTCACTAATCACCCCAAGTAGTGCTGTGAACAAATAAGGATGTAATTATTGTTTTTCACTAAACACCCCAAGTAGTGCTGTGAAAGAATAAGGATGTAATTATTGTTTTTCACTAATCACCCCAAGTAATGCTATGAAAGAATGAGGATGTAATTATTGTTTTTCACTAATCACCCCAAGTAGTGCTGTGAAAGAATAAGGATGTAATTATTGTTCTTTGTTTAATTAGTCAAGGAGACTATATTCATAATGTCAAATATATTACAGAATTACATAAATCCCGAAACGAGATTTATTAATTGTAACTGTTTGTCTGTTTTAGGTGAAGGTGGTAGGAGAAACTAGAGATCGCGCACATGCCCAGGAGTTAGAAAATGCCCTACGTGCCACCTATAATGAAGTGCACTTTGTTTCCACAGGAGACACATCATAATAAAACCATGAGAGACAATCACATTACCTAGAATTAGATTGTGTCTAGTCTGTAATATGTGTTAATTATTGACTCTGACCAAGAAACAAAATAACTTTAACTGTTTTATATTTTAGTATTCACCTTTCCATAATGATGCTGAAGTTATGAAACTGCATTCAGTTTGTCTTTCAAGTTAAAAAAACAACAAACTTCTGATTTTGATTTACAACCAAACAGTTGATTTTGATAATCGTACTGATTTTATACATGTGTATCTATAGAACTCTTGAATAGATATTTAATTTTTTCAGTCATTCTAAAGCTTACTTAGAAACTCTTCTTAGGTCCAATGTGAGTTTGTGCATTCACTCTTCATTTTCTGTCTGTCTGTTTTACACAGTATGTTTCATGATTGGTTGAATTATAATAGTCAAACTCGTTGAATTTTAAGAGATCCCAACTCATTTCAAGTCTGCAAGCTAAAAAAATAATTTTCTTCGATCAATTTAGATAATTCTCTCCCACCAACTTCCTTGGGTGAGTTCAGACTTGACTGACATAAAAAAAAATGCTAAATTAATGTAAAAATCACAAAACCGTTTCTTCTACTTTTATCTAAACAGATAAAACTTAAATAACAGAATTAGTTGGACTACCATTATTACCAATGCAAGTGGTTTGAAGTATAGAAAATGTTGTCAATCATTATCTTGCTACACAAGAAATCAGATAACAAAATTTAATCCTAAGTGTTTAGCAGATGATGTATATGCTGTAAACTATTTGAACTTTCTGTTTTAAATAAAATTATTATCACTCAAATAAAGCAAAATAGATAATAGTAAGACCCTGCAATAAAAAACAAAATAAGCAATAAGACCTTGTTATTATACCCCATCACAATTAACTAAAAGCCATAATTAATATGTATCTTAACAATAAAATACCTTATTTATTTTATACCTCCAAGTGTGATATAAACACCATGTCCATGATTTAATACTTACATCATTTAGTATCAGTTTTATTTACTGTGGGAAGATCTAAAAATGGAGTGTGAGGATATGCAAAGAAAAAAAGTTCTTATAGGTAAAAATCAGTTTGTGAATCGGGTAATAATATTTAGCTCCTCATAGAATGTCCAGACAATGTATTGAGTAGGGCACTGTTTCAACCAGCTGAAAAAATAAAAACAGTAATGTCTATTTTTCATAATTTAAGTAACTGACCCATAAAGTTGCCTTATAATACTGTATTGTTGTGTTAAGTAACTTTGAGAAACCACATGATGGCTAGTAAGCAAGCTACTAGTATTTAACATAGTAATAATATGTTATTGGCAAGCTGGTCGGTCTTTAAGAAATTTCACTTGTCCAAATAACAAACGGTAAAGAAGAAAATAAGTGGGAATTAAATTTTTACAATTTTAAAAATTGTAAAAATAAGGTATTTAATTAGTTAACCCCTCTACTAATCAAAATTAAATAGAGTCTGCCATTTTATTTTAATTAATATCTATTTAGGAACGTTCTAAGCTACACAAAAGACATATGTTTGATAATTTTTTACAATTCCAATAACCAGAAAGCCTTTATTTCATGGATAATTTCTCTGATTTAAACAGCATGGAAGATATTTTCATATATATACTGTACACTTTTAATATTGTCAAATTCTATTGTAATAGTTGGTTTTGTTTTTTATTAAGCACAAGGCTACACAGTGGGATGTTTGTGCTCTGCCCACTATGGGTATCAAACCTGGAATTTAGTGTTGTAAGCCAACATACTTACAATTGGACCAATGGAGAGCTATTATAATAAAAATAAAGAAATTATATCGGTGAATGTGATAACTTGAGTGAAACGCAGGAAACATAGAAAAACAAAGTTTACCTAAAATTATTTTATTAAGACACAAACCGACAAAATAGCTAAATAGATGAGAATTTTCTTTTTGTAAAAACGTAATACTTGGATACACCTGAAGCAATCTAAATGTATGTAGTTATTAAATCTGCATGATTTGATTTGTTTGAAGTTAAGCACAAAGCTACACAATGGGCTATCTGTGCTCTGCCCATCACGGGACATACCGCTACTTCATTAAATCTGTATGAGAACTTTCACATTGTTCAAATATTATCACATAACACGAAAGAAAATATGAATATAAGATTGAAGCATAAAGCTAATAAATATGAAACTCGATTCTGTTGTACTGAATACAATGTGACGCTAACTAAAACTACTTCAAAGAAATGGTAGACATTTAAGCTGTTTAAATGAAAAACAAGCAGCCATAACATGGATTAAATTATAATGTCCGATGAGAATCCACTGAAGTTAAATAATTTGTAATGTTCGAACTTTGTAAAGGTTCCGGGTCAAATATCTGAAGAGTTCCGATTGGTAAGCGTTAT